TTACACATACTGATTTTAATCGATCAAGTGGGGAGCACATGTACTCTTTTTTTTAATTTGTAAAGTGAGGGACACATACCTACTTTTATCTCCGAAAGTGGAGGACACTTATACTCGTTCTCATGATCTAAAGTGGAGAACACTCAATGATCATTTTAAAAGCCAAAGTGGAGGATATTGGCTGATTTTTAAAGACAAAGATAATATGTAATCCCGCTTCACGACATCAAAAAAAAAATAATAATAAAAATCGAAAAAAAAATCCAAAGGTTAATTCCTGTTCTGACTCCTCAGATATGTACAGTACATTAATTATTTTTTTCGATGGAAACTGACAATAGCCAAAAGGAAGGTGATACATGTTTTTCTTGCTAATATTGCGTGCCATCCATTCTTCCATGATCAAAACCGCTAATCCTCACAAATGAAATTAGAAATCAATCATTGATGAATAAAGTAAACTTGCTTAATTCATGGCCTCAGCGTGGCAATAAAACGTTCACATGACTGCCATCTAGCGACGATTGTGTGTGGTTACGGAAGAATAAAAAATCAGGAACTTGACTTCAGAATTTATATATATCACCACAATAAAGTTTTACTTGTTTACAATCTTATTACTTTACTTATTTACCATCGTGACTTGTCCTCGCCCCCCCTCCCCCGAGAAGTACATTCATGCGATCAAAGAATGAAGTGATACCATTTATAGACTTGTCTTATTACTTTACTTATTTACCATCGTGACTTGTCTTCTCCCCCGCCCCACCCCCTCCCGCTCATCGCATGAAGTACATTCATGCGATCAAGTTAGAATTACTGCTACAATACTCTTTTGTTGTCATTTCCGAACGAGAGTCATTTGCAATCGACGTGAGCCTAAAAAAATGTGGTTCTTGGAAAGGATTTTCATTCATAGCTGTCATTACAGTTTTAGCCAGCTGGGGGCAGTGTTCACCAGTTTATGAACTGACTTGGGGAAAAAAAAATGCCTGAAGAGAAATGGATGAATCCTACCATCCTTTATTCAGGACTCCACTGGGAGATAAACTAGCAAATCCCGTTCAGTATCGCTGGACCAGCCTCCAATATTTTACAGACATCACAATGTATCATATCATTGTTTTTCAAGGTACAGTGTCAATAAACAAGCATCAATTATTTACTTTGTGATGTGCTATATCGCTCTCTTTTAAGGTAAAGCATCATTCTGCTTTAAAAGCTTCATGGGATACTGTTCTCATACATTATTGGCTTTGGACTCAATGAGTTGTGAGTATTTTTATCGCGCACACAAAAGGGTATCGATACACCTGCATCAGATATCGTGACTTATCGTGACCTGATCCATGGCATCACTTTCAAATACTAATTATGTGACACATTCTTAAGCGTCATGATGAAATATTGAGAGACACACAAATATCAATATTGTGGGAAAAAAAAATCTTAAAATTTAGACAAAAAAATCTTATCTATTTAGATATATATTTTTTACAGCCATAAAATAAAAGTCACAATGACTTAATGCTAGCGTAGGAAACCTGCGGCCCCGGGGCCAATGGAGATTGTTAGGGGCATCATGGTAGTGTTTTGGCTAATCAGATGACAGCAACATAATCTAATTTTGTGGTTTATACAAGGATAGTACAGGATTATTGAAAAGTGAAAAACATGACAAAAATAGCCAAAACGTACAAACAAAATTAAAAAGTTGATTCCCCCATACATACTAAACACATAAAAATAAAAAGTTTAAAAGGCTTAAAGGTGGCATGGAAAAGGGCATAATGCTTCCCCTCCCCCCCAAAAAAAAACAACAAAAAAGACAAATGCTTGAAAAAAATAAAATTATAATAATACGATCACATTTATACAAAAAAAAAAAATGGGACCCCCAAAATGTGTAGCAGACATTATGTTGAGGGATTTTTTTTTTTTTTTTTTGGGCTCATCGGCAGCCAAAAGACGCTCTGATGTTTTTCCGAGTGCCTGACTTAATGCTAGCGTAGGAAACCTGCGGCCCCGGGGCCAATGGAGATTGTTAGGGGCATCATGGTAGTGTTTTGGCTAATCAGATGACAGCAACATAATCTAATTTTGTGGTTTATACAAGGATAGTACAGGATTATTGAAAAGTAAAAAACATGACAAAAATAGCCAAAACATACAAACAAATTTTCAAAAGTTGATTCCCCCATGCATACTAAACACATAAAAATAAAACGTTTAAAAGGCTTTAAGGTGGCATGGAAAAGGGCATAATGCTCCCCCCCCCCCAAAAAAAACAACAACAAAAAAGACAAATGCTTGAAAAAAATAAAATTATAATAATACGATCACATTTATACAAAAAAAAAAAATGGGACCCCCAAAATGTGTAGCAGACATTATGTTGAGGGAGTGTGCGAGCACTTTTTCAGCGAAAGACTGAGAGAGGCTGTTGGCAAAGTTCGGATGAGGACATTGTGACTTCCGCATTTCCTTTCCGTGCGGTGCGGTGTGACCACCTGGCCCTCAGCAAACAGAGCGTCTGTCAGCGCACGTCGGTGACACCACGGCACACAAATACAAACGGCAAAGCAGTCTTTGTTCGACCAGGGGCCATTTTAGGGACAAGGCCCTTTTGGAAAGTTATCCTTTTCCCAGCTTTGCCATACTCAAAATTTGGGGGAATTTCAGCCCCCAAAGACAGTTTCACTTTGCAACATACACTTTGGTCCATGTCGATCATGAGTAGACCCACAAAAAAGTCTCTAGAAGCCATGCCTGAAGACACACCGAGAGTTGATCGATTTGGTTCGACGATGGCAACCACTCGAGAGTCTTTTTGGCGATTTGCAGTGGTAAAAATGAACTTGTCCTACAGGCTGCTTCCAAATGTGAATATTGTGTACTAGACAGAAGAGTAACCCTGAATTGCAAAACACTGTATATTTTTTTTGTTATAAATTGAGTTACTGGCCATAAAATAACCCAAAACTAATGACAGAATGTAATAATTTCAGCTCCCAGACCCAGTGTCATTTAGCAACATGGAATTTGTGGGCATGGCTGCCATTCGAAGATCCACAAAAAAAAAAAAAAAAAAAGTATGAAAAAGTCAAACCCCCCCCCAAAAAGTCAACCATGTTAGTGTGAATCAAACATTTTAAACTGGATTTGAGTCCTTCAGATTTTTGAAAAATTCAGCCCCTGAGGTCAGTCGCGATTAGTTTCATGAAATTTTGGTAGACCCACAAAAAAAGTCTCTGTCTGAAAAGACACAGTCAATCAGTCAAGTTTATTCATTTTAATGCGTCCCTTTTTTTTCTTTCCTAATTCAGTGCCTGAAATTAACTTCATTGAACAACATGAAACTTCACCTATGTGCCTCTCATGAGTAGACCAACAAAAAAAGCTGTGTTTAAAAAAGACACAGGAAGTCTTCCCCCGTTGGTTTGAAGCACGCATTTGAAGCTCGTTTTAGCCATTTCGGTTGCCCTCCATAAACAAACTGGTCCGTCAGATTTTCTTCAATTGCGACCACAAAACATCCACCACATACTCAGACAACACAAATATTTCAGTTTTTGTCACTGCATGCGAGCAGACAGCATAAAAGACCACACTGTCAGTCCTCCTAAATACGCTAGATGACGCTATTGCACCAACTTTGCTTCTCTATCCAGGCTACTTCATCAACTTCTCTGTGACAACATTGGGAGCTTCTTATTGACATATTTCCAATGATCCAAAGTGTTAAAATGTAATGCGAGGAATGCGTTTGCATACAGAGGAGTGTGTACACGGAGCAGGAAACGGCGGCATCCCATATTTTTTTTTCCCCCCCCCCCCCCGTCCACCATTCAAAGCATCCATTCACTCTTATCTGAGGCCAAATATTGACTTAGCCTTGTTGCTTTTTGTCTTCCCAGGGAATGATCAACAAGCTGGACACAGTGGGAAGTGGCGCAGACACAAAAACACAATCCAACACGTTTGCTCAAATTCTTCTGCCGGTTGCCCGGGAGTACAATTGCTCGCGCCAATAGAATCAATCAACGTCTTCCTCATCACTGGGCTCGCAATGTTAACATGTTGTGGAATTAATTTTCAGCAATATTCTGGTAAAAATGTTCAAAATCCATTGTAAAATGACACAATATTGTCAAATTGAAACTGAATTCTTGTGCAAATATTTATGGTAGTATTACAAACTTTACTTTGCATTACTTTATTCTGAATTGATTTTTTTGGGGGAAAATTTTAACTTAAAAAGACTCAAACCACAATTTGATTGTCTGCCTTTTGACTCAGCATTTTTGAGAATGACACAGATATTGTCATAAAATAGAATGTTGGTAAGTGATATTCATTCTTGTGAAACAACAATTCCGAAAAATTGATACAAATTACAATAAACAAATCCCAAGTTTGTTATTCTAAAAATACAACTTTATTGCAATCAATTAAACTTTTTGTGTGTGAAATTACACGTTTCTCTGGAAGTTCAAAATTTGTTCTGGAAAATGACAAATGCATTCTCATGAAATTACAAATTTGCGTTTCTCCATGTGGCTGCTGACCCCTGCCCCCCAAACTTTTTAACGCCAAGCCAACCGATTTGGGTAAAGTAAGAAGTAGTAAGTACAGATATCTCTTTTAAAAGTACAAAGTCATCTGAAAAATAAATACTCACGTAAAGCACAGATACAGTGAAGCCCTGTCCCGAATAATGAAAATTCCAGAGTAACTAACGCACCCCTGAAAAGATTTGGAAATGCCTACAGATGCCATAAGATGGCGGCAATGCACTTTTTCCCCAATCGGACAAGGCTATGGCCTGATGAAAGGAAGTTCCTCCTCTTATTTCAACATAGTTGCCTGGCACTAATATGCTGCCACACAACCCCCCCCCCCCCCCACACACACACACACACAAAAAGAAGAAGAAATTGCGTCCACCCCCCCAATTCGTGAATTTTCCCATTTCATTCAGTGGGACTCATCTTCTTTTCATCACAGACAGAACAAAGTACTTCAATCCAGTATGGAAGTTTTCTCACTTGGCTCCCTCCCACCTTTAGGATACTCGTGCCACCACTTTCTCTCTTTCCACGAGTGGGCCGGCGCATCCAATCCACTGGAGGTCTCCGGAGCGGCGGGGGAGGGACGCCTGCTTGCGGGATACCCTCTCACTCACTCACTCGCTCCTCTCCCTCATTTTCGCTTCGCTCCCACGCAGGCACACACACGATACGAGAGAGCAGGAGAGAAACGCACTGAAAACGAGAGAGAGAGCGAGAGAGAGAGAGAGAGAGAGAGAGAGAGAGAGAGAGAGAGAGAGAGAGAGAGAGAGAGAGAGAAGGGGGACTACTGCCGTGAAACAGGAACTTTTTCTTCCGCGGAGCACAACATCCATCGGCTGGGTCTTTCAAAAGGTAACTTTGGTCCTCTTTGCATCTGTGCTGCGTTCAAGCGACTTCATCTCGTGGGACATTTTTAGACTTCTCCTTGTGCTCGTTCAAAAGGAGAGGAGAGGAAGTGGCTTCTTTTGGTTTTTAGCATTTGGCGTGGTTTGCATCTTCGGGATCATTAAAAAAAAAGTAAGAGTTCAAAAAAAAAAGTCAAGACGCAACTCACACGCCAACTTTGACGAGTGGAGTCTGCACGCAAGGTTTGGATCCGTCACTTTGGCAACGTTTCAAATGTGGAGTCTGAACGCAACTTTGGTGTTTTTATTCAATCGCGGAGGATGAACGCAACACGAGCGCTTTGAATCACAATTGTTGGTTTGATCTGCTCGCAGTGTGAATTGCGGCGTCTGAACGCAGCACGAAGCGCTTTGCATTCAAGAAACGACAACGTGTAATCGCGCACTCTGAACGCATCAAAAGTGTTCGAATTTATGAAATCACTTTTTCAGTTTGCACTCCATAGTTCGATTTACGCCGACATTGAACAAAAAGCTGGTGTTTTTAGATATTAGATATTAGATATCCGTTATTTGTCCCACACGTTTGGTTTAATTCAATTTGCAATATATTTCAAAACATTGAACGCAACAACAGTGTTTTATCTCATAAATAACAAATTTTAAATTGTTTAATGTGCTCGCAAAGCACTTTAATTGCGGACCGTGAAAGCAACACTAATTGTTTTCATTCAAGAAATGACAGAGTGGAATTGATGAGCATGAACGCACATCGCCAGCGGTGTTTTAATTTAGGCAATCATGACTTTGATTCCAATTCGCACATAAAAGTTGACTTGTTGACCCTGAACTCACCACTGGTGTTTTAATTCAAGAAATACGGTGTCTTTGTGGACCTTTGAACCCGAAATGCAACATTCGTGTTCTGATTGATGAAGCTGCTCCGTTTGAAACCTGCATTGCAAAGTTGAATTCTGGACCGTGATTGCAACGCTCATCGGGTTGTTGATTCATCAAATCACTGTGATTTTAGTTTATTCAGGTTAGACCCTCCGTCTTGTGGTTTTGAGGTTGCTGGTTCAAATCCGGGGTTCTGCCTTCCTATGTGGAGTTTGGATGCTCTCCGGGTACTCCGGTTTCCTCCCACATTCCAAAAACATGCACGGTCAGTTGATTGGGGATTGTAAATTGTCCTTTCGGTGTGACTGTGAGTGTGGATGTTTGTTTGTTTAAATGTGCCCTGTGATTGGCAGTTCTGGATGTACTCTGTTTCTTGTGCAAAGTTCGGGATCGCTCTAGCACACGCGCAACCTGTCAGGAGGAGAAGAATGGATGGATGGCGACTTATTTAAATCAAATAAAATGACATTTCATGCTTAAAGAAATACGCATTTTGCTCATACCTCCATGACAGCCAGCAGTTTTTGACTGATCTTTCAAGACCCACAGTGTATTGGGTCTGTGACAATATCAGTACTGAATCTATCGTAAGAAAGAATAAATATTTTCTATTCTTTAGTAATCCGTAGGAAGTCATGGATTGGTTTGCTCAAAAAGCGCCAAGATATTTATTTATTTATTTTTTTGTGGAAAGACAATGTGACTTTGAAGCTAATGTTTTCTGATTTGATGACACCTGAAATTTGGAAATAACTCAAACAAGACTGACAAAGCACTTTTGATGGTAAAATAATCTTTTTTTTAAAGATAGACAATCAAGAAACACTCTGTGAGTGATGCTGACTTCCCGCATGGCTTCAACAGTGGATTTTTTTTTACATGGCGTTTGCCTTTCACTGTATGAAAGGCCAGCGTGACACACACTTTCTATGCACGCGCTTCCTTGGCATACTCTGTTTTTACCATCGAGATACATGCGGCGTTGGAATGCCCGCTACCAAAACGTGTCATTTGACAATGACAAACTGAGATTCAGCCCCTAAGCTTTATCTTCTACTCAAAAACTGTGCTGATTGTAAATCCAAAGCGGCACTGCAGTAATTATTAAGTAGGGAGTGGGGATTTTCCTGCACCCTGATCACCACAAAGGGATTTGTCGTGCACAATTTAGAGAACGATCTAGGACCACTATATAAAATCCTTACAAACTCATTAGGGAGCGTACAATGACTAACCGATTGTCGTATGCTTTCATAGGAGGTTGTGAGGGTGAGGTGTTGGCTGGGGATGGGTTGGGGGGGTGGGGTTAAAGTGTGAATAAGTGAGTTTGGTAGTGGGGGTGAGGCCACAATGAATGATGACCAACAACAAAAAGAAAACGTGTTGAAATGGAAAGGTCCGCATGGCATAGCGTAACTAAAGCCACATTTGCATCTGAAAACTTGCCACTGAAAGAAATTCCGACAGTGTTGCTCCTGTTATTGTCGATCGGGGCTGCGCTAGAGGCTGAGCGCTGTTGCCTCAATCAGTCATTCTCAAAGTGGAGAATGTGAAGAATCACGGGATTAAATGTCACAACTATGCATCATGTTAGTGTTTTAATCCAGGACAGCACATTTGTTTAGAACAGTGCCGTCGTATTTAACTTTTAAGTACAATGCAGTCACATTCATTGTGTTTTTTGGACAGTTGGTTTTCAAACACCAATATAAATAACTTTTTTAAAAAAATTATGTGCAGTACATTTGAATATATAGTTATAAATGAATATGATGTGGTGTACTTTGAATCATGAGATGCTCCTTTCTGTAGTGTGATGGATAGACAGATAGATAAACAGATGTTGGACATAAGATGTGGTATGCTTTGGAAAATAACCTGTTGCTTAGATAGACAGGTAGATAGATTTTGTACGATACTGTATGCTTTGAATCACGGCATAAAGGAAAGATGGATGGATGGATGGATGGATGGATGGATGAATAATCCTTCTAACTCCCAAGACTCATTCATTGGGCGAAGCCAGTCACTGAGCAGAGTCAGGGATCATGACTGCCTTTTCCCACGAGGCTCCCCTCGACTTAGCCGTTTGGGGACAACTTTCTTTCCCATGGGCCATCTTCCCTGAGCCCGAGCCGCAAAGCTACCACATCACTCGAATGAAACCTCCCTCCCGCCTTTCCTCCCGTCTCTGCATTAATTTTTCAGAAAAAAAAAAAGATTTTAAAAAGCTGAACGGAAAAATATGTCCAAAATAGGTTACAAAAAAACCAAAACAAAAATGTGAAAAAAACTGGCAAAAATAGTTTTGGAATTTAAAAAAATCACAAGAATTTGTCAAACACACAATAATTACAAAATGTAAAAAAAAAAAAAAAAAAAGAGACAAGATGCTGAAAAAAATACATGCAAAACAAAAAAGCCCCCAAGTACAGTGGAAAAAGATTTTGTTGGATTTACTCAATTTTATTTAGTCAAGTGATTGCACAAATAAATTCATCTGGATTCAGCTACATTTTTTAAAAGTAAAAAATGTATCAGGATCCAAATGATTTGATTTTGTGCGACCACTTAGTGAAATAAAATTGAGTCAAATCAACACACCATTTTTTTTTCCCAGTGTATGTGACAGTCCACTTACCTTCCCACCATCCCAGCCTTTTTGTCAGCAGCTGACCCTACTGGTACGTAGCGACATTCCAGGATGTGGCACTAAGTGCAGAGCAAGGGAAGGAAAGTGGGCTGCCGCTATCCCGCTCATGATTCTCCGGAAAACTCGGGGAGCTCTGGATGATTGTTTGGGATGGCAGGGGGACAGCCATGACGCGAGGAAACGCAACCGCCAAGTTGTATGCTGTCCTGGATCTCGAAGCCTTCTTTACTCTTCATTTTCAAAACGGCTTGAGTAGCATCCAAGAGGAGCAGACCTGCTTTGGAAGGATCTCGTCTTCCTACAAACGGCACACTGGCACCCAAATCTGCCTTCAGGAAAGGAAAACACGTCAGGCTCGCGATCCAGCTCAGCGCAATGCAAACGTCTTTATTTGACTGGAAATCAAACTGTATTTTTATTCTGTTAATGAATTCCATGTGGCTGCGAGCAGGACGAGTTTCCATCCTGATGAGGAGCTGGAGGGAGAGTTGAAGTGACAGAGGGGGGTCAGAGCCACTTAGTTAACATGGCAAAATGAATAGAAATGTGACAAAAACCTACCCCCCTGCCCCCAAAAGGAAAAGAAAAATCCTCACATAAAATAAAAAAGACATAAAAGGAGGAAAAAATATGACTACATTTTGGCAAGAGTGACAAAAGCATGACACAAAGGCATAGAAATGTGATAAATCAAATAAAATTTTCACCTGCCACCGGAAAAAAAACTACAAAAATAAAATCCCAAAACATACCCCAAAAAGTTTTTTTTTTTTTTTTTTTAAATCAGAAAGATTTGGAAAAAAACAATTGGGAAAACTAAGATACTATTCGTGTCAGGGCAAAGAGTTGGGTCGTGGCAAAATGTTCTCTTCTTCCTTCGAGGGTGTAACAGAAAATAATTGAGAAACACTGGTTTAACCATAAAAAGGCCTATACTGTTCTGTATTTCAAAAGTAATATCAAAAAATATTTTTGTTGCAAATGACAACATCCACCTATATTTCTTTATATTTTGATTTAGGGATATTTTTTAGTTTGACATTAATTCGACAGGCAACATGATGAGATCGATGGCTAGCTGGCTTGCTAGCTGGCTTGCTAGCTGGCTTGCTAGCTGGCTTGCCAGCTAGGTAGCTAGCTAGGTAGCTAGCTAGGTAGCTAGCTAGGTAGGTAGCTAGCTAGGTAGAGCATATAGACAGATCTTGGTCATATGATGCGATATACTTGGGGTCAAAATTTGTTTCCATTGCTGGAGTCTGTAAATAGGTATTGGACACATGCTGCGGTATGCTTCGGATGAGGAGTTTTCCCTTTGAGTTAGCTAAAGAGTCGGTTTGCTCTCCACATTGAAGTGTGGTAGAAAAAGTGATGTTTTGTTCAAGAAGTTGTGCATGTGCGGTCAGCAAAGGAGAGGCCGCTCGGACGGTGTTTATGTTGGTTGGCGTTTTGGTTGGTTGCACGGGTCATTTAAAGGACACGCCGTGAATGGCGTTGAAGTATCTGGCTAATCTGCCGCCATTACGCTGATTAAATCGCCAGGGATTTGGCGTTCCCATCAGCAGCAATCAATGGCTCCAAAATCAATAGGACATGCGAGATCCTCTCAGCAGCACATCCATCTGTGCGCCCACAAAAATGTCAATTAATGTTAAACGACACGGATTTGGGGCATTTTAAAAAATGTATTATTAAGCGGTTTATGAACCTGCTGTGGTTCCCCTGCTTCACGCATCCGTGTTTTTAAATTTAATCCCTCCGTCCGCTTGGTTGCTTGTCATCCTTTCACTTTTTATCTGTCACGCAATTGCTAATCTGTCACTCGCGTTTAGCGTTAAGTAAGGTCTTGTATCCGCAAAGCAAAAAAATATACATCTCGCTCCAAAAATGAAGAACCTATACAAAATTAGTTTCCTCAATTTATTTTGCTCTATAAACATGTTGGAATAAAATAATAATAAAAAAAATATATATATATAAATATATATTTATATATCCACAAAATTATAAATTTTCAAAATAACAAAAATGTTTGTGTTTTTCATTGGTCCATTTGTTTTCATTTACCAGATGTGTCAAAAAACGAACATTAAAAGGACAGATTTTTTTTTTAAATAATGCTTGCTGTTATTGTCATTGCATTGCCAAGAGTAAAACTAAAATTGATGATGCTAACATGGAATGAGTGAATAAACATGATGAAAATGGACAAATATCTTGTTTGTGTCCCAGGATGAGGCAGTGTCAAGGCTGGAGAAGCGAGCTGCTGCTGCTGCTGCTGGTTCTACTGGGAGTTCTGGGAGCTACGGCGCAGAAGCTGCCCACGCGAGATGAGGGACTTTTCCAGATGCAGATCCGAGACAAATCCATCTTCCACGACTCGTCTGTCATTCCCGACGGAGCTGAGATCAGTGGCTATCTTTTCAGGGACACGCCCAAAAGGTTAAAAAAAAAAAAAAAAAAAAAATCACCAAAACAACTCTTGGTAAAATTGTTTTAAATAATGTCATTAAAAAGTAACAACGAAAAGGAAATTTCGGGAAAGTGCATGAAGTGACACAGATTTGGCTGAACAAGTAAGTGATGTAGTGCCTCGAACCACAAACAAGGATGATTCCAACATTGGGAAGTGACCATATGTCCGAATCGACTGGGAAATGGACTAATAAGGAGAAATGCAGAGAAACCGCAAGAAGTGAGGCACACTGCACAGATTCAATACAACGTGTGGCTACAAAGAACGTAAACGTTGACACACACAACTGTCTGTTTAAAAAAGCGGATAATGAAGGTGTAATTATAACTCCATTTTCAAGAAGAGTAAAGAAGAGTTCCTGGGAAAAAAAGAGGGCTATGAATGAGAAATTGCAAGAAACGAGGCAGACTAGGCAGTAAAATTAAGTTGCGTTGCTTCCTAGGACAGAAACAAGGATGCGCACAACATCATGGAGTGACCAGACAATTAATTGGCGTCGCTCCTTGGAACGTAAACAAGGATGCGCACACCATTGTGGGGCGACCACAAAATGTAAAATCAACTTTAACGCCGTGTGGGTTTACAACAAGATAAATAATTCATCTGAGAGATACGCTGACATGCCTGCCCTGGCGCTGTGGTTTCGGTTCGCAACAGATGGCCTCGGCGCTCGGCTATCCAGGTTTGAGCAAAATCTGATGCGGGGACTTGTGATGGTTGCCCCAGGTACTACTTTGTGGTGGAGGAAGACAACACGCCGCTGTCGGTGACGGTGACACCGTGCGACGCGCCACTGGAGTGGACGCTGATGCTGCAGGAGCTGCCCGAGGAGGCCAGCGGCGAGGCGTCAGGTAATGGCGTGGGAGGACCACGAGCGGGGCTTAATGACCAGTCTGACGTGGAAAAGTGCGCTCGTCGGCTAGGTTTTCATTAAGTCGCTCCGTCTGACCGCTTGTGGGTCGGCGTGCCTTTAATTTGAGACTCGCTGCGTGTGAATCAAAGACATTACGTCCCTTTACTTAGGCCGCCTTGATCGTTTTAAGTTGGGTCCCACTGTGCTTGTCTGTGTCTCGTCTTCCCTCCTCTTGTGTTTCCCTTTGTGAAACTCATTGAGTGTCCTGAAAAATCCTCCCGTTCTGTTCAGTTCAATGCTGTGCGATCACAAAAACTTTGCCAGTGATATCAATATATCGCCATACGTTGCCGGCGATACTGATGATATCGCAATGCCTTTTGGTGTCACAAACCTTTGCCACTCATATCAACAGTATCATTAATTATTGCCAATGATACACACAGCATTATGGTACTTTTCCTCCTCATCACAAAATTGTAAAATGTACTTTTCCATCTTTAGACAAGAGAGAGATAGTAGACCAATACTTCACATACGATACAAACGGTATCATGATACTTTGCCATTGATAACCATAGTATCACAATTTATCGCCAACGATTCAAATAGTAGCCTGATACTTTTCACGATTGCCAAAGTTACAGATAGCCTTACAATACCGCGCCAATGATACAAATAGTTTCACAGTACTTTGCCACATCACAAAACTATGTCGGGGCCGCACAGCGTACGCGTGGTTAGCACATCTGCCTCTCGTGACGATAGGCAGTACAGAAAATGAATAAATGGATGGATGGAAACTTTGTCTATGATATCAATATTTTCACGACTAACAACATTATAGATACTATAACCATACTTTGGAAACCAGATGGATGGTATGTTATGATACTTAGCCAGTGATACCGATAGCATGACGTTTTATTGCGAGCGATGCATATCGTATCGTGATACTTTTCCATATGAGGATCTGAATGGCAATGTACAGTACGTGAACACCTGGACGAATGTCACATCTAACCTCAGCCTGATGATTTATTGCTGGCGTTCACCGTCGCTGACTTGTTCCTGGCATCAAAAGGAACGGCGTTGCTTCCTCAAGTGGATCAAGCATTTCAAATTTGGACTGGGGAGTTTGTTCTCATGGCTGCGCTGGGAGCAGATCACTGGAGCGTTAATTTTTAGTACACCGCCGAGAACACTCTCTGGTTGACAAACATAATATTATGGTTTCTCTAGCAAGAGCTTGAACTGTTTCCGAAGCCACAAGGCGCTCCTTTGTAGCCAAGGCCAAGTCAACGAACGACACGGGCTGTGATCTTTTTGGGATGTTTGCAATAAAAACATGGCAGGCGTGTTTTTGGATAATTGGAACGCATGAGGCTTTCTCGTCATCGGGAAGGGGAAAAAAAAAATCCTCACACAAGAGACAGCGATATTATCACCCTACTTTATCAATGATACCGATAGTATTACAATTCTTAGTGGCGTGATACTTTGCCAACAAACCTGCTGGTATCGGGATACTTTGCCGAGGATACCAGTATTTTTGCAAATATCTTTGTCAATGAAATCGATAGCATTATTGTAGTTTGTCCAAAGTCACTGATAGTATGACAGTACTGTACTTATCACAAGGCTGATCCAATGATACCGATCGTTTGCACGATAGTTTGATAATGTTTCTGTAATGGCTCATTACTTTGCTAACGATATCAATAAAATCATGTTACTTTCCCAATAAGACTGATCACGTCACAGTTCTTTGTCGAAGTTAGCGATAGTCTCTAGGTACTCTTCGTTGACAGCAATCTGTTCAAAATAATTTGCAGATGATACTTGCCAACAACGCTGATAGCAGTGAAAAATGTTGCCAACAATACCGCTGATAAACGATACTTTTGCAATGACAGCGATATTACCATAACTCTTTGCCAACACGACCGATTGTATTGCGAGGTTTGACCAACAATATTTTGGCAAAGACAACAACAGTTGATGGTATGTATACAGTATGATGATAAATTGCCAACAATACCGATAGTGTCACTCAACTTTGCCCCAAAAAACGAATCGTGTGACGATACTTTGCCAATGATCCCACCCGCCATGATTAAATACTCTTGCGGCGGTGTTGTTCTCAGGGGAGCCCGAGCCATTGGACCAGCAGAAGCAGCAGGTGACGGTGGACGAAGGCACGGAGCTGTTCACCTACAAGGGCAACGACGTGGAGTCCTACGTGGCCGCCAGTACGCCATCCGGCCTCTACCAGCTGCAGCTGCTGTCCACCGAAAAGGACAGCAACTTCAAGGTGTACGCCTCCACCACACCAGAGTCTGACCAGCCCTACCCGGAGCTGCCGTACGACCCTCGCGTGGACGTCACCTCGCTGGGTCGAACCACCGTCACCCTGGCCTGGAAGCCCACGCCCACGGGCTTCCTGATGGGCCAGCCGGTGCAGTACTGCGTGGTCATCAACAAGGAGCACAACTTCAAGAGTATGTGCGCCGCCGAAGCCAAGATCGGCGCCGACGACGCCTTCATGCTGGCTCCCAAGCCGGGCAGGGACTTCAGTCCGTTCGACTTCGCCCACTTTGGCTTCGTTCCGCCCGGCAAAGGCCCGATGAGCAACAAGATCTCGCGGGCGTACCCGACCAAGCCCAAAATGTCGGACATTCACAAGTTGTGCATCGGAAACAAGAACATCTTCACCGTCTCCGAGCTGAAGCCCGATACGCAGTACTACTTTGACGTGTTCGCCGTCAACTCGGCCACCAACACCAGCACGGCCTACGTGGGCACCTTCGCCCGCACCAAGGAAGAAGCCCGGCAGAAGACGGTGGAGCTCAAGGACGGCAAAGTGTCGGACGTTTTCATCAAGAGAAAAGGCAGCAAGTTCCTCCGCTTTGCTCCCGTGTCGTCGCACCAGCGGGTGACCTTTTTCGTGCACACCTGCTTGGACGCCGTACAGGTGCAGGTGAGGCGCGACGGCAAGCTGCTGCTCTCGCAAAACGCCGAGGGCGTGCGACAGTTCCAACTGCGCGGCAAGCCCAAAGCCAAGTACCTGATCCGCCTGCGCGGAAGCCGCAAGGGCGCCTCCACCCTGAAGGTGCTGGCCACCACCCGAGCGGGCAGCAAGCAGCCTTTCCCCTCCCTGCCCGAGGACACCCGCATCAAAGCCTTCGACAAGCTGCGCACCTGCTCCTCCGTCACCGTGGCCTGGCTGGGAACGCAAGAACGGAACAAATACTGCGTCTACCGCAAGGAAGTGGCCGACGACTACGGCGAGGAGCAGAGGCGGCGCGAGCAGAACCGCTGCGCCGGGCCCGAGACGCGGCGTAAGTCGGAGAAGGTCCTGTGCAAGTACTTCTACAGCCCCAACCTGCAGAAGGCGGTCACCACCGAGACGGTGGCGGGGCTGGAGCCCGGAAAGACTTACCTGCTGGACGTCTACGTGGTGGCGCACAGCGGCCACTCGGTCAAGTACCAGAGCAAACTGGTGAAAACGAGGAAGTACTGCTAAAAGTGACTACGCACAGAGGAAGAAATCTATTATAAATATATCTATGGAATAAGTTTATTTAACTCTTTTGAAAGATACACAGACTGACTACTCACCTGTGGCGCAAGACAGAACTGTCGCTGGAGACATCATCCGCCTGTATATTTATGTTTACATTCGACCTCGTGAGCGGGCTTGGCTTTCATCGTCGCTGCATGACTCTTGACTATCGGAAATCAAAAAAAACAAAAAAAGTGACTGATTGTTGTTTTTCTTTTTCATGGAACACACACTCACGCACATACAAAAGTAAAGTTCTGAAGGCGGGGCTTCAAATCTGGGCATTTCTATCTGGAGTTCTCCCAGTGCTTGCATGGGTTAGAATGTGTACTTTTTTTTTGACTGGGTTCCGTGCCAAATCACCCTAAAAAGTCAGATTTTGATTCATATGAAACTTGTACTTGTTGATCGTTACGGCACAACACAACATCTCAAATTTTAGGTCAATCACATGTTTGCTAAAATGAATAAAGGTTTCAGATGTGTGTTTTTTTTGTTTAGCAGTCATAGGGAATCTGAGAGAGATATTTCATGCAAAACTGTCGAAATGGAAAAAAAGAAATTGTCAAGGTCATGCGGCTCACAAGCTCAATTTCAAGGTCAAATTACAGGTCAAAAGGTCAAGTGACTAAAATATGCGCCAATCTTCTCAATGATTTCAGAGTTGGGATCCTTGTGGAATTCCCTTTCCAACAATATCTGTTTTGTGAAAATTGACCACGTAGTTCCGGAGGTATGACAAAGGGAAGGTGGCCACGCCCCCTTTTTGCCAAACTAATTCAAAATTTGCGGGCCGTAGCTCCCAAACCTCTGCTCCGATTGTCCCAAGTTTTGAGATTTAGTGTTGTGCCATCACTACCAACAAGTACATTAAGTTTCGTTCAAACCAAAATCTGTTTGGTTGAAGCCACCGGCTGATTTGACATGGAGCGACTCTACTGCAGTTGAAACAGTACTTCTTCTTTTGCCAGAGTCTTTTTTTTTTTTTTTTTACACAACTTTCTGTACTTTGACTTCCATAGTGTGACTACTTTTGTCACCGCTGCATGCCACAATCAGTCCGGAACACCATCACGATGCATCAAACGATCCACCCGCCGTATTATATCAAAGCCAAATGTGTGTGAAGTGTTCTTGTACAGCGTTGCCTCACTATCTCGCAGATTTCTTTTTAAGCAATCATTTTTGTTGTCTAATGACTTATTGTGATGGATGCCCTTGCATGTGGGAAAGGACAGCCACAGTCGGCGATGCACTTTTTTCAGCCATCTAAGAAATGGCGGCAGAACAGTCAAACACATAAACGCTGCTGCTGTCGGCCACAGCTCACGCAGAGACGCTCAGTTGGAGACTCGGCAACGTTACAACATGTACAGTATTTTCTGTACATTTTATGCTGGCAATTTTGTTGTTGTTGTTGTTGTGTTCAAATTTGTACGATGTGTTTCAAAAGTGTGTTTTAATAAGTTCAAATGTGTTCAAAGCATGTGTGACGGGTCAAACTATAACAAATATCTTTTATACCGTCTCTCTATAATGGCGATTTTCACCTGTTGTGAACGTGTCCCGTTTGTTATTTAGTGCTAGATTAAAAAAAACAAAAAAATCAAATGAGAACATAATCAGTCACTTTTTTTCATTTTTGCCGGATTTTTCGCTGGCCAAGTGAAAATAGAAGGAATGATAAACGGATCCAAGATGCTATCTTGTACAGACCTTTCGCTCCACCAAGTTGTACCGAGACTTTTAAATTATTTTCTATTTTTTCTCTCTGTGTTTTTTTTTTTCTCTTGATGACGTGTTCCCATGACATTCCCTTGTGTAATCGCTCTCTTGTAACTGTGCCCCGTGCTTGGCAAATGTTGCGCTATTATCACTGTATCAATGTGCAAGTGTGTGTGTGTGTGTGTGCGTGAGTGAGTGCGTGTCACGTGTACAGAGTTGTCCTGCCAAATATTCCTGTACATAAACACTAAATATAGAAGACGTAATCCCTGTGTCACCCCGGGGTGTCGTGTTCTTTTCGCCCGAGCGCAATCGAGATGAAAGTGCCTCATGTTTATGTTTAACGTGATCGTCCTTTAGAGACATTTGCAAGGATCACAAGGATCATGTCAGACAAGTAAACCTTCACAAGCTGAAAGACACGCCTTGTGAAAATGTCCCAAGAATTGAGACGGAACTCAGTCACTCACTCAATATCGGCACCTGAAAAGTTTAAAAAAAAGAATTAATCGGCCTCCGAGACTAATTTCACCAATCAAATGGAAATTTGGTGGACATCATAACAAGACATGCACGAAACTCTCAAAAGTCAGCCGTTTGGGTATGAATCAGCAATTACTCATTCTGTAACATCACCAGCAATTAAAAAAAAAAAAAAAATTCGCCAAGACCAGTTTCATCAGTCAACATGAAATTGCATGGACGTTTCCGTTTCAACAAGACACACCAAAATGTTTCAAGGAGACATTCTGGCAGTTTAACAGAGTCAACCATTTTGGTGTGAAGCAGCCGTTACTCACTCGGGAACGCCACCCCTGAGAAAGTTAGAAGGAAAAAAAAACGCCCCTTGTACCAGTCTCACTCATCAACACAAAATTGGGTGGACATGTCGACCATAACAAAACACAAAAACACAAAAAGTTCTCAAACAGCCATGGACAAATATGAACAGGAGGTCGGCCATTTTTGATCGAATCAACCATTTCTCAATCAGTAAGGTCACTTTCAAGCCTGGATCCTTTTTCATGCGTCCTCCAAACCGGATTTTATGTTGATAGGTGAAACTGGTGTTGGGGATTTTTTTTTTTCTCCCAAAATTTTGGAGAATCCACAAAATGCCATCAACCTTTAACGCCGTGTGCCACTCCTGTCGGATGGTGTAAAGGCAGACCATCTTGCTTTTGCCACCCGCAAGTACGTGTGACATCATGGCGAGAAGTTCAGGTGAACGCTGTCATGTGTACTTAGCGTCAAATGAGCGCTCCCCACTTGGAGGAAAAGCAGGGAGGCTCCTGTCCCCTGAATTCCATTAACCTCCCGTTGCCCCGCAATAATGCGGAGGAGCTTTCAGGGAGCCGCCGGTGTTATTGACCGCACAGGAAAGTTGTGCTTTTTCAAGAACCTTTTTTTTTTTCTACAAATTCGACAAAAATGAACTTGTCTTTGGAACAATGCCGCTAATAGAATGACCAGTTTACATAACATTAGACCTGGCTTGTGTCCAGACCGCGAAAAATGAAGCTGCAATAACAACAAGGGACTTGTAATTTCTCCCGCTTCATCAACTCTGTAATTCCCGCAAAAGACGAGACAGGCTCGGCCAAATGAAAACACGGTTCATCCCGTGACCTCACCACTTCAGGAAATGGTTTATTCGGCCTTGGAATAGGGAGTTGCGGCAAGGCGGAGGGGAGGGGGTGGCCGGGCCCCCTCCCATCGTAGCAGTATCAGGTTTGGGCCATATGAAGGGGCGGGGGTGGGGGGGATGCACACATCAATTTTGGGAAATGTTGTGTGGAAGCATTTGTGCCTTGGCCAAACGGGAGGTTTCCCCTCCAGAGAAAATATTTGCTCCAGTTTGAAAGAAGCCCCTCTCGACCGTGTCCTAAACGTGATTTGTGTCATTTTTGGCACGGGCTGACATCAGCCGGCGGTCCGAGCAATAGTGAGCAGTCCGGATGGCTGGCGGCGGTCCCAAAAGTGTCCAAGTCTTGGTCGGCACCGTCTTTAATTAAGAAACAAATGCGCTTCTGTCATCTGATTTGTCGGTTTGTTCAACGTATGGTGCCGTCCGGCTGAGGCGGTTCACAACGTCTGGACCGGATCCCAAAGGAGATTTATAATAAACCGGGAAAGAAGTCTGTCATTTTAAAGCCATTCACTTGGCCCGTGCCAAAGAATGTGACGCCCGTCTGTCTAATATGAAATATAAATAGCATCATATACACTTCGGAGGTAAAGACGTTCAAACAATTCAGAATTTGAGGAACATTTGATGTCATCCAAAATAGCAGTGAACTCCACAAGACCTCAGTCTGGTGAACTGAACTTCAGGGGACCCAAACCCTCACTTTAACCCCTACTGTTTTTTTAAAGATTTGTTTTAACTTTAAGATTAAAACTCCATTTTAGAAAAAAAAAAGATGTTTTTGATGACAATGTTTTTCTTCAGTTGTAAGTTAATCATATGATCATAAAGTTTCTTTTTTTTTTTTTTTTTGAGAAAATAAAAACTTTCCCAGGGAAAAAAAATGTTTTCTACAGTTTGTTTTGTAAAAATATTTGAGAGGAAAAAATATCGCATTTTGTAAAGTAGTTCCTTAAAAAGAAAATTGACTTTCTGGGGCATTTTTTTTTTGTTCTTGAATAAAAATATGCAAAATGAAGGTGCACTTTTTAAAAGTAAAGTTTTAATCATATGACAATAAAGTATACATCTTTATTTATAATTCACGACGGCATAACTGAGCAACAGTGAACTTTTCTGTATTGACATCCACGTTCGCCTCAAGCAAGTCCTGATTTTGCTGAATCGTCACTGATTGGATACAACAAAAAGTCCGGCTTCTTGTTACAAACTTTTTGCACCAATCAAAAGGCGCCGTTTGCCTTTCCTGCCCAGAGCCGAGTAGCAACAAGTCCGACCTGGACCAGGACCCGCACCTGGACTATCCCTGCTGTGGAAGACGTGAAGAAATTCAAAGTGAGAATGCTCCCGCGTCTCTGACGTCCAGCCTCCACAACGTCCATTTTGTCGACTTTTTGCTCTTGTCTGCCCGCTTATGACAGCGCACCATGTTGGGGATGTACGTGCCGGACAGATTCTCCCTCCAGTCGTCCAAAGTCCAGGATGGAATCGGTCTGTTCACGGCACGGCGGGTGAAAAAGGTTTGTGCTCCTTTCCCCACCTCGAGCGAACTTACTCGAAATCGGCGTGTTTTGTTTCCAGCTGGCCCCTCTTTTCAAAGTGGCTGTCAAACGCGAGCGAGTTGTGACGTGAAGTGCCACGTAGCAACACAACTTTTTTTGTTAGTTTTTTTTCCCCTCCGTGCACCTCCCCACGACCATTTCCCCTCTTAACGTTGCCTTCCTTCACCCTCGCGAGTTCACCTCGACACATTAAGTCAATTTTACAGCAAATGATGTGCGAACAGCTCACAAAGACACTTAGGGAGCATCTCGCTACTGTTTCGATGAAGTAGTTCTTTAAAAAAGGGGGGGAAGATGACGCGTCGGTCCCCACGCCCCCCTGTCTGGAGTTTGGCAAGTTGAAGGTGCGTTCAATTGTTCCGCGCAAGTATGGGAAAAATCATAACTACAAAAAATATACACATATTAATATGCGATATTTCAGGGATTAAAGTATCAGTGTATAAAAACGTATTTACATTCACCTGGAACGCTTTGAGGTCGCAACATCTACAATCGGAGTCGCATCAATCCGATATAATTTAATTTTGCGAACGTCACATTTACAAAACCAGAATAATTAGTGAGCCGTGGTTGGTCGTTACCTGAGCACGTGTGATGTCAATTTTAGATGACAGCAAGTCTCAAAATGGCCGCCTCCTGATATGGATAAATATTCAAACATTTTGCTGTTTAATTCTTATCCCACAAACGCAATATTAGGCAGAACGCCGTGGCGAGTGGGGGCCGCATAGAACATACTTTGCATTATATCGTAAAGGACATTTTTGACTTGACGTTCCCTGTTCTAATTTACCAACTTTTATAAATTTATATTGAAACATTTTTATTTCTGTTTGGCTACATGTTTTGTTGTTTTGTCTTTAAAGGGAGAAAAGTTTGGCCCCTTCGCAGGCGAGAAGAAACTGCCGTGCGAGTTAGACGAAAGCTCCGACACGAGACTGATGTGGGAGGTAAGTGCACCTTTTGCTATTTCGATTGTCTTTGTTAAAATGATATCACACAATAAATGGTCACAACACTGAAAAATTCAAGGGTCACGAAGAAAACCAGAATATGACCCAGCCAAACGCAGACCTCCGCCAAGGCCGGAAATTGTGGCGTGCCTGGTTTGTGTGTACAGTGATACCTCAGTTTACGAACATAATTGGTTCCGAGAAAGTGTGTGTAAGGCGAAAAGTTCTTATTCCGAACATTTATTTCCCATAAGAAACCATTAAAATGAGAATAATCCGTTCCTAGGTCCACATAAAAAATAATTTTCTACTAAATAAGCCTTAAAACTGCACAAAAATATACCTTATTTTATGTATAATGAATGTGCAATTGTATTGTAATTAAAGAAACACTGTACACTGTACTGTATAATAAAGTCATTTTATTTTCCTTTGTGATGGTATTTAATGGGTTAATGGATGACGAACTTCCAGGGTGCCTCTTGATGATATCCGAGTGAAGTTGCCGTGCTTTCTCGGCGATAATACCCTCACTCACACTGTCCCCTGCTAGCTGCTTTTCATTTATCCAAATTAACAGAAGTTTTTCAACCTCTTCTATTGCCTGAGACCGTTGCTTAGACAACACAGAAACACCCTTAGCCACACACGCACCCTTAATAGCTCCCTTGTTCTTCAGGATGGAAGCAATGGTAGACTTAGCTAACTGATACAGTACTGTGATGCTAAGTCACGCAAACGCACACCTCGTTCGTGTTTTTCGATTATGTCCTTCTTCTGCTCGATCGTAATTTTCGTCTTCTTCGGCTTAACACTAACTTGTGGTGGGGTCTTTTTCGGTCCCATAATCGCAAACGTGCACTCTATATGGTCCAAAATGTCGCTCAAACAAATCACGTCCTCACTCGAAGAAAGGGGGTGACGAAATGGGACGCCGTTGAGCGTGCGTCAGTTTCTAGTGGCCGCCACCGTGGCACTGCTCGATCGCGTGGTGTGTTCGTCCGCCGAAAACTAGTTCGTCCACCGAGACTATATGCTCGCGAATTTAATGTTTGTGAGGCGAAAAGTTCGGAAGCGGAAGCATTCGTAAACCGAGGTAT